AAACCGTTGTTTGATTTTTGTTTTTGGATGCAGAGAAATTTGAAGATAATGATTCTTACGGGTTTATCTGCAAAGCAGGAGAAAGATAACCAGGTGCTACAAATTAAAAAGGAAGTTGCAGAGATGGTAAAGATTCGAATCCCGCTTATGAAATCGAAGGTGCATTTCTTTTCTTTTGGCTTCCAGTGGTTTGATTTCCAATTCAATGTCTTTTTTTGGTAATCTAATTCAATGTCGCTTGGTATGTCACTATAGTTATTATTATTGTTTTTCCCAGACTATATTCACCAATCTTCTAATTTTTCAGATAGTAGCTATATCTGTGATCTAAGAAGTATGTTCACTTGAATACTCACATTTCATGTTGTCTCTTTTTAAATTATGTTTAGATAACAGTGCCATCCACACTTTAAAGAATCTAAAGTAAGTAAAATCGTTTTTATAAGCAGCGACTTTTTTTACTCCCTCTGTCTGACCGTCCCTTTTGGATGCCCAAAATCATTCTCATTTCTTTTTTTCTCGCACACACTTTTACTTCTTTTTAATAAAGATACACTTTTACTTTCAACACTTGTACAGCAAGCTTTATTGTATTTACTACCTTTTACTCCACTTTCACTTAACCAAAAAGTTGTTAGGGGCATTTAAATATTTTTCCTTTTCACTCTTAATCTTTATGCCATTTTCATATGGGAAGATGATTTTGGGGCGATGAAGTATTCATCAAGCAAAAGGAAGTTGTTCAGATTATCTACAATAGGGAAACCCATCCTTCGAAATACACACACGACTAAGAAGTTTGGGGTTGGACCCCTTAACTTCAATCACACACTTCCTCAGTTCCTCTTAAGCATGAGAGCCTTCTCTTGGCCAAATAATCAGCAACAATGTTGGCTTTCGGCTTTCATGACCCAAATCATCATTAAGTCAATAGCTAGAGATCAATGCCAATGACTATCATTACACAAGAAAATCTTTGTAGTTGACCTTGATGTGCCCCATCCATGTTCATTTTTATTCAAAAGTCTTGTGAAAAATCTTCAAGCCTGTTGCCATAGCTTATATTTTGCACCGAACACAGAACAATAAATATGATTATAAAAAAACTGCAACCAGACTACCAGCTCACAATTATTATCTCTACTAATTCTTCCAATAGCACCCCAAACTTCCCCAGAGAAAGTTTCACCAATGTGATTTTCCGTCCATGCCTGGCCAGGCTTCTCCTATATCAGCCTTATAACTTCAGCCTTCAAGCTTCTCTCCTTTTTAACAGTTGGAATATTCAGCACAACCTACAACTCATCCATATTTTAACATTACTACGAATTACCTTTCTTTCATGTTTAAGTTTGTTTCTGGCCTTGCAAGGGATGAGATCCCTATGACATTGAAATAGTAATGCAACATGTCAAACACTTTAGGACACTTGATCATAATATGGCTTAAGCTCTTTGGGTCTCAGACTCTCAGTAAACATTGATGTTAATGGTTGTGCCGGTTTATGTATCCTGTGGGTTTTCACCAATACTAATCATTCTTTCAGTTATCTGGATCATAGCTATTTTTGATGAAAAAAACTTTGTTCACTTTCTTTGATCAAGATATAGTTATTATTTAGATTACTAGAAGATTGGTGAGTATAGTCTTGGTAAATTATTTTAAAACAATCTTCAAACTTTTTATATTGTTGACGATTTTTCAAAATTTATGTTCTTGCAAAATATCTCATTAGTTTTCCTAAGCTTAGGTCTTCCCAGAAACAGCCTCTGTAGTCTGTACTCGCGTAGAGGTAAGGGTTGAATACATACTGCCCTCTCCGGACTTTATTTACGAGTAGGAAATAAAGTCCCAGAAACAGCCTCTGGGCATGTTTGGTTTGGTAAAGTTTGTTCACTTGATAACTCATTCTTCATATTCTGCCACTTCAAAATGTATTGAGAGAGAATGGTGCTTCCACAATTCTATGAAATTAAGTTCAATAAATAGGCTGATGTATATGTGCAGGCAATTGAACAACAAGCTGGAACTTCTGATGATTTTCAAGCAATTGCACCTGAAGAAAAAGAAGCTTTTAAACGAAAATATTGCATGGATAATGTGCTAGAAGACAAAATATGTGATCTGTATGATCTCTATGTCGAGGTTGTCTCTTTGTGGTTGGCTGGTTGCAGTAACCTTATTAACATTATTGCATTTTGTTAATGATCTATTAATAACCTCTGGATGGTTAATGCTCTACAATTTTAGGGACTGGAAGAAGATGCTGGCCCGCAGGTCAGGAAGCTTTATGCAGAGGTAGAAACTTTGGCTTTGCATTTATTTTTAAGTTATATTGTTGATCTGTAGTAATGATCTCTTCTTAAGGTTTAGGTGAAAAACATGCCTTTTTCACCGTTTAGGCACAAGTCTTAGATGTTCTGTATTTACTGACTGAAGATCGGAGAAATAAACTGCACTCATTACTTTGCTGTTTCCTCATAGTATATCTCTGAAAAGTGAAGTCCCATTTATAAGGTTGAGATCTAGTTTATAAGGTTGAGATCTAGTACATAAGCACGCCTTTCATTACTTTGAGAAATTAGCTTCTTATCTGAGATTTGACATGTAAAAAATTGACTATACCCATTTTTAATTCGATATCCGACCTGAAAATATTGGGGTTTGAACAAAGACTTTGTTAACCAGGCCTGAAATGACTCACTAAAAATGGGTCAAACCTGATCGAACACGAATCTTAACCTGACTTGACCGTATAAGTTTTTTTTTAAAATCATGTACTTTAGTATGGAACATATTGTGATAGGGATAATGTTAGAATCGTTTTTCTTATTACTCTTTTAAAGTGTATAAACTTAGCTTTTCAAACAAATTTTTAATGATATCGTATTGTTATCTTACCTTTTATAAGAAATTCTACATATTTTTATTACATACTCCCTCCGGTCCTAAAAACCTTTCCTGTTGTCTTTTTTTTTTGTCAAAATTTGACCACAAATTAAACATAATCCAAACAAATGAATGATATAAAAATTTGATATATCAAAACTATATCGTAAGACGAAGTCAATTATATTTAATTTATTATAATTAAATTTACTTTTCTAATAATTTGTGGTCAAAGAGTGTAACTGTTTGACAAAAAAAGTCAAAACAGGAAAGATTTTTAGGATCGGAGGGATTAGTATTTTTATACTCTTATTTACCATATTGCTGTTATATGACATATCTACAAGTAAATTAAAAAGTCAGAAGAAAATATTACAGTAGCTTTAATACAGAGTATATATTTTGATATTTTTATTTTTTTATTGCAAAATGCAAGTACTAGTGTTAACAGGGACAGGACAATGTTAATGGTTCCATTTCTTTTGCATTTAAAGCATATATGGAGCTTATCATAATACAATTTAATCTGGACTACTTCAAGTGATTGAGAAGTTATTTTAGCAAATGAGCACTCAACTGCTTATATATTCATGATAATTTTGCACTGCTGTACCAATTTTTGTAATTATTATTTAGCTTGCTGCATATTGGCCGAATGGATTCATGGACAACCATGGGATCAAACGAGCTATTTGCAGAGCAAAAGACAGGAAGAAGTCATTACACAACCGACATAAGGTATGAATGCTATTGTCTTGCTTGTATATTTATGAGAATTGTAATAATAGTATTATTATTATGATTCTTTCTGTTTATTGCATCTATTATTCCAAGGTTACTAGAGATTTGACAAATAAAATTTTACTCAGGCTTTTTAAATTAGGAACATATAGAGTACTCTCAAGTCTCAATATTTTAAAGATCTACAATTTTCTGTGCCAAAGTTCATACATTATTCATTTTTGTATGTACTTGTTGTACTTTTACTCAATGTGGCTTCCGTGGAGATACATCAAAATGTTGCTCACCGCTCACCACTAAATCATCCTTTTGCGTTTTGATTATATTTAAAGGTCTACTAGGTACCAACCAGAAAATGAATGGGAGTCTTAGAAATTCATTGTCAAATTTCTATAATTAACAGCAAGGTCCATGTTTCATATATTAGTGGAGTACTGTTTGAAAATGGAGTAGTTGCAAATTTTATTGGTTTACTCACTTAATTATGCTCTGGTGTTGCATCTGTCATATTTTCTGTGAGTAGTACTTGTTGTAGATCATCTGATATGTTATTTGTTCTCTCTCTCTCTCTCTCTCACTAATACAGATTCAAGAAAAAGTAAGAAAGAACAAGATGTCGGGTCAAAAGGAAGAAGATGCTTTGAGAGTTGACACTACTACTGCTGCTGTTGCTGCTGCTACTACAACTACTACAATGCTTTTTGGTCAACCAGTGCAGAATCAAGAGAAGTCAGCAGTTGATGCAAAAGATCACAGTTTGACTGCAACAAATAAGCCAACCGTGCCGAGTGTTGCATCAGTAACTTCTGCCATACAGGCGATGCCTATTTCCTCTCAGGGTGGCATTGTTTTGGGTCGACCAATACCCGATAAAGCAAAAGGAACTAGTGATAGGCATATTGCACCTGATGGGTTGAAAAAAAAGAAAATGAAGAGGAAAATGGAATCAGAGTTGATAGTTGATCGCCCAGAGAACCGATATCAGGAGCCGAAAGTCATTCCTCCCCCTCCAAAACCAATTCCAAAACCCATTCCCAAACCCATGATCGAGTTAAATGGCCCCCCAAGCTTTGAAGAAGAAGCATGAATATATTTTAGCAAGATTCAATCTCAAAATATCTTTGCTTAAGCTTCTCTTCCATTTGGCCAGCTATCACCTGTAAGTTTTTTTTTACTGTACTAGTTTTTTCGGCACATTGCATTTCAATCTTTCTTGAAAGTGATGGGGTAAAATGGTTTGAGCCATGTTTAGAATTCAAAACACATGCCATATTACAGTGATTGGTTTTTGAGTTTCTTCCTTGTAAACTGTTGCTTTCTGATATAGACTAGGCATATATATACTCTCTTCTGTAACATATACGGAGTATATATATTTACACACCATTTGATCCATGGTATCATTTTCTATTTCACTGTGCAATTATGCATGTAAAGTGATTGGTAAACCAGGTGGTTCATATTCTTGCTAAGGCTCCACTGATTGTATGGAGTGGGATACTAACCCTCCAACTCTTATTGATGAAAGCCCAAGTGTATGCCCAAATGTATAATGAAAGACGCTATAAATCATTTATGATGACGATCTTTCCCAACAAGTCTAAGCCTATTGCTAAATGTCTCGTCTATTATACCGGCCTTCTGGTCGCAAAGTGTACTTAGGAGATGTGTTTTATTCTCACTACTCAAGTTTTTTGAAAAGAGCTGCCAAGCTATAATCCTAAGTTAATTAGGGGAGGAAAGTATAACCACCTAGCCAATAATAGAAACCCAATTGGGATGTGTGCATTGCTATTAATCATCTCACGAAGGACACTTTTGTACATGCACCATCAATACTCATGAATTGATTAGAAATTATACAAGGAATAATGAACTAAAAGCATATATAGGAGTTTTATTTATAAAAAAAAAATATTGACAGATATATTTTAGTTCTACTTGGGACAATTTAATCGCCTAAACATCTAACTTCATCTTCCTTGCCGGCTCCTCCAAACATAAAAGAGTAACCATACCAATCGTCTTCAAAATTATAACCTTGGGAGCCTTCATAGTAGCATCTCGAATCATGGAGCTGAACCATGTCGTCACTAACAACGTTGCTCCCATAAATAGAATCATAGTAAGACACGCGGCGCATGTAACACGTCTTGTCATACTGTCCATTGCTAAACCTCCCACTCCCCATTTCCGGACTCGTGTCTTGGCCTTCTGGCTTGAAACACTCCCCTCCAAATCGCAATTGAGTCGCGGCGCTGGTCATGCTTGAGAATATGGGGGCTGTCCATATCCCAAGTGTTTCTTCATCCACACTTAGAACCCAGTCTCCCGAAGCGCTCTATGAATTAATTAGATAATGTACACAAAATCATTTCAAATGTAAAGTTTCTTTTGTGGGAAGAAGAAAGTTGAGTTTATACATACCTGGAAAACATCGATGGTTGTGTCGAACTGATCACCCTCGAACTGGGACATGTTGGGAAAAGGATAATCGAGTGGGATTTTGTTGGAGAATACGACAAATCCCGGACAGTGATTGTTGTAGCATCCGGTTGTTCCATAGTCGCCGTCTTCCCTCTGTATAATAATTAAGGTGCATTCATCGAATTAATCAAACATTTGGATTATTATCAAAATGATGACCTGAAAATATATTACTGTAAATATAGGGGAATAAAATAATAAACACCGACAGTCCATCTGCTAAATAATCTCGTGCGCGAGTCACCATATAATGTCGGGTGCACCTTCATGTAAAAAAATAAAATAAAATTGGCCTTTAAAAAATAGTGTGAATATACAGTACAGTTAATTAAATTATGTGGAAGTACTATAAATAGTAAAGGTATAGCAGGTAGTAGAATTATACTATATACTTACGATCCATCCAGCGCGGATGTGAATATTATCTCCAATATTGTCCAGGTACAAAGCGGCGGAGCTGTATTGGTTGTCTCCCCTCAGTATGGGATTCCATATGGTCATTGTGGCTTTAGCCCCTGTGAATTGGCCTGATGGAGCTTTCCCTACTATTACTCCTGCAAACTGATCCGATCCATCCCCCCCACACACAGACATATAAAGTCAAAATCAACTTGTGGGGTGCAATTGGAAGGGGTGGGGGTGTGTTCGTGTCGGGGCGGGGTGAGAGGTTAGGGGGTAGGAACCGTCAATTTTACGAACGGGGTACCGGAGCGCCCTCGGGTCATCCCAATGACATTGCCGTGCAATGTCATGTGAACCCTACAGATGATGAAACGAATCGAATTAATTAAAGCATGCTTACATACATCAAGATGGCTTTCCGTATTAGTCTTCACATCATCATCCTCCAACGAGTGATGATGATGACGATGACGACGACGGATTGGAACAGTACCGATAGGGCACCCTCTCTTGTTCAACCATAATAACTCCGCCGGGGAACGCTTCAAACCGCCGCTGCTGTAATTAGCAGCTGCATGTGATATTACAGCATTCCTTTGAACCGCCGCAGCCGCCGCCTTTCGCCTCTCCAATTCCTCGGAGATTACCATCTGCTAGCGGGCCGCCGTACGCACGTGCACCCATGCATATGAACATATAACATCATACCGAGTATTTACATTTATTTTGTCCCAAATAATCCAATAATTCAACTGAACAACTTACTCAAGTGATTTGTTGGCTTTTTTTTTATAGTTACGGAGTATATCTTAAAACAAATACTGTGAAATCGATTACACCCGCCTCGTCCCATAAAACATTTCTTGTTTTGAATTTTAAGATATTGAAGAAGAGCTTATTTTGGTGTTGACATTCCAAAAAATATCCCTTAGATTAGTAGTGAAAAGTATGATGTGATAGGTAGGTTAAAAATTAGTAGGGATAAAAGTGACCTTTTAATAGAAATAAAAAAAGGTTTTTGGTACGGATGAAAAAAGAAAGGATAACGATTTTGTGGGACGAAGGGAGTATCATACATTGTCATGAGACTGTATTAGTAACCGAGAAGATATTTTATGGACAGAGGGACTATATTTAATTACATTATAAATTTAATACTCTATATAATTGAGTTCGTTTTTGAGATATAATATTGATATATCAAATTTGAGATAATAATAGTCAAATATAGTGTGACATTGAATATCGTAAAAACTAAAAATCCAAATAAAACGAAAACTTGCGGATAGAGGGAGTATTATAAATCCAAATAGCATACCCGAATCCTTTTGTTTGCCATTGTTGGATGGTCCATACCGGGTTGTTTGTATATGTCCACGCATTCGTAAATCTCTCCATGGATGGTCTTCATCGTTGTCGTCATCATCATCGTTATCATCATCATCAATATATATATACACCAAGTATTAGAACTAAGTAGGTACAATAATATAATTAACTTAAGATTATGAAAACAATAAGTATATACCTTTATAGTAGTGATGGTTGAATTGTGTTTATGTCGCTTTGCGTAGCTAAGGTTGTTGGTGCCTAAAGCTATGACAATAATAAGAATCATAATTATATTTACTCTCTCTGTAATCCTCATCAACTCCTGCACTATATTCTTCATTTTGATTTGATTCTAATGCGCTTAGTGAATCTTTTCTAGGCACTATAAATATACTTAATTGATCAGTAGAATACGAAAACAAAGAAGAACTAATTAGAATGTATAGTATATACTCAATTTTATGTATAGAAATATGGTATCTGCACAAATGGATATGATATAATTATGGAGTATTAATTAGGAATGCCCTTGAATTTAATATCTTCTCCCCCATGTTAAACTTACTTAGACAAATTCTACATGTGAACCTAAGATCCAAAGTGCCTATTTTAAGATACACTTTTGAAATGTACATTCTGTATCTATCTATAAATAATAATATTGATGGTCTAAGTGTAACATTGAAAATCGTAAAAATCAAATAAGAAGATTATACTCCCACCGTTCTCAAAAACTCTTCCTCTTTCATTTTTTTTACTTCCAACAAAACACTTCCACTTTCTATTAAAAAACTACTTTTACCATTACTTTTTTATACCCTACCTATCACATTATACTTTTTTTCTAATACTCAATCCATCACATCTTACTTTTACCCATCACATCGAGGGCAAAGTTGGAAGTCAACTACAATTTAACACTTCCTTATTTTTATACAAAGTCAAAATAGGAACACTTTTATAGAATGGAGTGAGTATTTAAAAGCAGCTGAGAGAGTAATATTTTACAAAATAATACTCCGTATCTTTAACTCCACATAAAAAGTTTCAACATTTTTTATATCCAATTTTCTTTTTTCTTTGCACAAAAAAGAATCACTCAATACATACTCTGGAGTACCACTTTATTAATAATCAATACAAACACGAGGCATAAAAAAAAGAGAAGGGCCCGTTATATTTTTATTCATCCCCTTGTGATAATGGTAGCATTTAGGAATTAACTGTTTATTAATAACAAGTGCTAAAAGTCTATTTTTGTAAGTTTGGAAAGTATAATACGAGTTCTAAATTTGAAATAAAATTGTTTAGAAAAATTTGATACTGATTAATTGCATTGGACCATGGGCATCTAGAGTTGAGCAAGGCCAAGGGGAGCAAACTGAATTCCGAGAGGTCACCTCCCAAAACTTCAAAAAAAAGAGGATGATAATGACCCGGATTTTGATACGGATCAAAGTCCGGGTCACCATCTCCTGAAAAAGGAGGAAACAACAGTATGTAATAATACGGCACGCGCACGTACAAATTAAAGTTTACTGCTAGCCAAGTTACTAAAAACTCCTCCTACCATACAATTACAACAGAATTAAGTGGTAATAGTGAACTAGCTGCACATACTGAATCCTGGCCTGAAGCAGCAGCAGCAGCAGCACAAAAAAAGGGATTCAATTAGGAGAAAGCTAAGCTAGCTAATTAAGGCAGTAGTCTTCTTCTAATTAGTCAACATACAGTAGTAATCAACTAACAGTGATCAGAGCCATGCACCCGCACCAGCAGACATGGTTTCAAAAGCTGGTGTCTGCTTCCTTTTCTTGTTCATTGATGATGACAATGAGGGTGGCGAGCTCAACGGCTCATGGGGGAGGGCATTATTTGAGAGCCCCGGTCTGCCCAGACGCAAGCTTGTATCCTCCTCACCATCATCTGGACAAACCCATGCAATAGGTTCGGCTGCATGCAAATACATATCATTAGTATATATATACACATGACGACTATATTTAACCAAATAAAGTGGAAATAAAATTACGAAAGATGACTCCATCATACGTAGTATATATTGCCTTTCATAGTATGGTTCGATGACTTATATTTAGGGCTATGCTAGGGGTACTTTTGTCGTTCTAAATATAACGCGCACCTCTTGATTGTCTATCTCTCCCCTACCAATTGAAACAATATAATCTACCCTTTCTCACCCATACATAAAGCCTTCTGTTTTTCCTTCCCTAAAGGGCCACAAAGGTGTAGAATGCATAATAATTAAAGCATGTTTTGAGAGATATATACCTTCAGCAGACTCGAGCAATCCAGCTATTTGAGGAGCGGGGTCAACTTGTGGGGGCATTGCACGATGACTACGTTTCCTCACATAGTCTTCCTGAAGTGGTTTTGGAATCTGAAATGAAAACTGATGCATCTTAAGATCCTCAGTTATGTACTCCGGGTGTTCATCCAGGTACCTGAAACAGCATTACAATGCAATTACAGCAGCAGGTATATGTATCTGTCTTTAATGTAGCCACAACATCTTGAAGTTCAAGGAACAATTTTTTTAGCAAATGTAGATTTGGTGGAGAAACATACTTTTGAATATCTACCATGGAGCGCAATCTCTTGCCTGATGGTGCAACATAATACCTGCAATAAAGTGTACTAGTAAATCAAGAGATTCACTAATGGTTGCTGTTGAATGAATACCATTTCAGGCAGACAAGGTAAAAAAAGATATAAAAAAAACCAGTAGTGCATTTCAAAGTAATATAGAAGAGAAAGGGAAATTGAAGCATACACGTCTGCAAACTTGGAGCCGCCTTCACCTCTGATTCTCAAGAGACGTTCCCAGCCTGGAGGGGGCTGAGCAATATTAGGCTTATCAATCGCCCAAAGCCTACTGCCATCTTGAGTGATGTCAGGTGGATCGTCGCATGATACATCTGGCCTCCACTCGCGAGCAGTTTCACAAAAGAAAGGATTTTCCAGTATGTGTTCCCTTATCTCCTCATATTTTTCCTTACATGGGATAAGCCTCCACTTAAAACAGTTTGCACATTGAACAGTGAAAGCTCCAACGGATGGCAAAATCCTCTGCTGTACATAGGATGAGTGGTTTGGAAATAAAATCTTTCGCAGACTTGTAGGAGGGGACTGATCAGTAACAGGCACATCATTGACTGAAGGATCATAAAGCACCAACTGGTTGTCAGCATTTTCACACTCATCCTCCTCTGTATCCACTTGTTCTCCAACAGAAATGGTGTTTATGGGATTCTGGGAAGCAATCTCACAAGCCACAGGGGAAGTACCTTCAACATCAATTGGTTCCCTCTTCATGCTAACTAATGAACACTGAACAGAACTGGTAATGTCACTCATACCCATCTTCTCAGTGTTAGGGTCCATATGGTGTTCCATGTTAATTCATAGTAACCTGGGAACCCAGAAGTGTAATGCACACTTATTTCAATAGGATTTAGGAGTATCCTAGACTGTCAACAAAAAAACAAATATAAGAAGGAAATTGTCAGAACTTATCAAGTACAGTTGATGGTAGGAGAAGAGAAATAGAATGTTTCCATCATTGTTACTTCAAATATATCAACAGAGAATATCATATACAAACTTGATTCAATTCAAACCCACAACAGAGGAAAGTCAGCATAAGCAAGAACTTCAGAAAACTGCCTATCTATCAGATAATCCTTCACACTCGAACTTGTGATAATCTTTCTCAAACCTTTCCCAAAGGAAGGTTCATAAAGCTACTAATGGGCACTCAATAAGCAGATGTAGAAGCAGTGCAGCCAAAAGCTTGCCCAAAAATATGTCAACAATGATAGATTGAAAGAAAACAACATAAAACTGGATGAAGAAATTGTGAACACTTTTGTTGGGTAGATTAAGGTGCCAAGTCCAAACACTGAAGACCAGAGGCCAAGGTGTCAAGGAAACAACTCAACCAAAAAGTCAAACTTGTGGTTGTAAGCTCAGAGAAAAATTTTCTATCCTAACACGCCCTCTCACGGTACATGCGTAGTTGCTTCGAGCTATGCACATGAAACCTTAATAGCGAGGTTTAAATTTGTTACCTCTCGGTCAACAAATACCACATTAAGGAACCAACTCAACCAAAGGCTAAAGCTTGTAGTCGTAGGCCAAAAATGATTTCATATTATAAGGCAAGGGTTTATTGGGAATAATTCTGGGCAAAGAGTAGTCCTAGCTAGTATTGTGGAATTGTAAGAGCCAATCTAACATCATAATGTAGTGCCCAAAGTGACCCTAATCTGACCACTAATCCTTTCTCCCTCCATCAGATCTTCCTCATCAAGAGAGTGGCCTCTCTGCCTTATCTATTCCCAAGTTATCCTACAGTTCATCATTTCTTCTTGCATTAACTAGCAGGTAGGTAGGTATAACGCGTTCTTACGGATACGGATCCGAACTTATTGCAGACGCAACACGATCAGAAAGCTCATTAACCAAGAATTATAGATCTCAAAGAACACTTTTTACAAGATTTTAAAAGAAAAAAAAAAGGAAAACAAAATTGAAATGAAAATTCCTTCAAGAAAGAATGCAAATCCAGAGGCGGAAGGAAGGAGGATTACACGGCGAGTCGGCTCAGTGAGTGAGAACCAGGAACCAGAATGACGGTAGGAGGAAAGTGAGCTACTGTGAATATTATTATGGCTGGCGAATGACGATTCAAGGAAGATGAATCATTATCTTTAGCTTTTTAAGAATTTTGAACTAGGAGACTCTCGTAAATTGTACCCGGAGGGAGTACTGAAAAAATGTTCATTTTCCAGACATTTGGTGCTATGTCCTATCTTTGGATTTGCATAGATTTTTTCTTTCTATTTTTTTAATTTATGGTTAAATTTTTTAAACGGGGAGGAGTTTTCATGATATTGGAATCTCATGTAATGAGATGACCCAGGAGCGCTACAGAATCCTGTTCGTAACTTCTCATACCGAAAAACGTCGAACCGAATATATATAAAAATATGTTATAAAAATAATAATGTTTTTATATT